CAATCTCTGCTACCTTAAGTCATGGTGAGGATCAAAACGGGAACCTACATGTGAAAATATTTCATGAACTGCAAAGTGCTATATCCATGTGTAATTATTATCATTGTTAAATCACCACAGACTCACCCCTTCCATTGCAAGGGAGCATATTTTACCTGGGTGTGAGGAGTCTTCTGGCACCAATTATAAACTACAAAGCAAATTATTACAAGTACATAAAATATATCTCAGGTTCAGTGTGTCTCTGCTTTTCAATCTTTGCTTCATGCTGCTTTGTCTAGCCCATGCATGATGGCAAAAAAAAAAAAAGAAAGAAAGAATCCAGGTACCATATATGTAGGATCAAATTGTCCCTGGTGCTTCAGATCAAATTTAGGGCTCATCTCCACTTCCGTAAACCCATCTTTATACTGATGCCATCAGCCCTGATCAGGTTCCACAAAATGATCAGTCTCCACCAAAACCTGTTTTTATACAAAGGTACTTCAAAAAGTTTTTGGAAAAATAGAATTAAAAGTTAATACAAATCTTTCCATAAACTTTTTGAAGTACCCTCATATATCTCAGACTTTCCTGAGATTCTCCTTCTCATGCTGCCAGTTGCTTTCTCCAAATAGCCCAGGTCTCTCTCACTCACCATAACACCTGCTTCTGCCCCCCACACGCTGGCATTCACCTCAGTTTCAAGCGCCCCAGGCCCTCTCCTGCATGGAGCCCTCCAGCACCCCACGTCCACCCAGGGCCCTCAAGAGCTGCGATTGTGCTGATGTGATTGCCCTTCCTCAGCTGGGAAGGCAGCCTCTTCCTCTCTCCGTCCCCTCCCCTCCTTGGCTTGGGCAGTTCCCAGTCGTCCTTTAGATCTCAGCTCAAACACCACTTCCTCAAAGAGGCCTTTTCTGTTCCTCGACCCTGCAGACAAAGCCGGGCCATCTTGCCATGCACCCAGGTGGCTCCCACTGTTTGACTGAAGCACTTACCAAATTATGAATAAATAGGTGCGTGTGTCAGTCATGGGGTGGTGCTGGCCTCCCTGTCTTAGTGGAAGGTCCACAGAGGAGAGGGTTAGGTTGGCCTTGCCCTCCGCCCTGTCCCTGGTGCCTGCCAAGGGCATGGCTCACCCTCATCTTCTGTTAAATTATGACTGAATAGACTAATCCATGAAGTGATATTTAAAAGGAAAACAGTTGTATCTAGTCAAGTAAAGAACTCCAGCTAGGAAACAGAAAACATCACACACACATACCCCGACTTGGGAGGAGCCCACACCACAGATGTCTTTCTAGAATGCCAGAGAAACATCCAGAGAGTGTACCCTCACTCAAATTCTCTATCTCATTTCCCAACTGTACAGAACTTAGAGAATGTCCAAGGTTCCTCCCTCTTCAGGAAATAGCCTGCAATGGTAAGAGTCAGTTTTAATTCATGTTAGCCAAAGACATTCCAATTTTTGGCTAATTGAAACATGTTAAGCCTGAAAATATCCCTATGCATATTAAACAGTACCCATTCTGACGTGTGTTAAGGAATATGTAAAAGAAGTAGCTCACTTGGGAGAGCGTGGTGCTGATAACACCAGGGTCAAGGGTTCAGATCCCCATTCCAGCCAGCACCCCAAAAATAAATAAGTAAATAATACGTAAGAGACATTGGTAGAAATCTATGGAAGGAAGAAGCTGGAGTGGGAAGATAAACTAAGGAAATTTAAAAAATTAAAAAAATTTTTTAAAAAAGGAGCACATCCAGGGAAGTAATTCTCCAGCCATTGTCATGTGGCTGAGAAGGACAACAAAACCCAAGAGAATGAGAAAGGAGAGAGCGTGGGCTTTGTAGTTCAGGCTGAGACTTCAACAGGCTGGAATATCTACTGAAAATGAAAGCTTTGTTGCTCTGACTTCCCGATAAATCACTTGCACATCGAGGCACTGATTTCACAGAAATTCTCATCTTCCATCACAATGATTGTATGCAACACAGTTTATGTGTCATCAGAAATAAATACTTTTTTTTTTAATTTGCTTGTTGCAGGATCCACATGTGAATGCATTTTTCCAACAGTGCCATAAACGAGAAAAAGATATGTCTCAGTCACCTACCTCGAATTTTGTTCGCTCTTGTAAGGTAACATGACATGCAAGTAGATCAGTGGTCTTCAGGGTAAAAATAGGCAAAAGAGACCGTTACACTGTCCACTGAGTAGCAAACTAAGAGGTGATTATTATTGATTTTAAAGATTTTAAACTATCTTATCAGTTCAAAGAGTAAATGGCTTTTTTCACAATGTCTAAATAGTTTCTGTCTGTTGATTATAAACTAAGCAAAGATCAGTTTTTTCAACATAAAAATAATTTAAAAACAGATCCATTTACTTTAAATGAGTTGATCAAATGGAGAATCCTTGCAACATTCCTCCCATATCTATATGCCATGCCAAATGCAATGAAGAATAAAGCCAGAAAAAGGTGAGCTACAGAATTCATATTCAAGTTCTGAAAAACACCAATAGATCATGCTTTATTATTTTTTCCTAATTTATTTATTTTTTAGTTGGCAAATAAAAATTTCATATATTTATCATACACAATATGATGTCTTGAAATATGTACACATTATGGAATGGCCAAATCAAACTGATTGACAGATGCATTACCTCACAGACTTATCATATTGTAGTGAGAACATTTAAAATCTCTCAATGATTTTCAAGATTACAATACATTATTATTAACTAATAGTCACCATGTTGTATAATAGATCTCCTCCTACCTAACTGAAATTTTGTGTTCTTTGGCCAACATCTCCCTGATCCTTTTCCCTCCACACCCCAGCCCCTGGTAATCACCATTATACTCTTGACTGTAATGGGCTCAGCTTTTTTATGCTCTGCATATATGTGAAATCTTTCTGTGCCTAGCTCATTTCACTTAACGTAATGTCCTCCAGGTTCATCCACATTGTTGCAAATGGCAGGATTTCCTTCGTTTTTAAGGCTGAGTAGTATTACACTATTTACATATTCCACATTTTCTTTATCCATTCATCTATTGGTGGACACTAAGGTTAATTCCTTACCTTGGCTATTGTGAATAATGCTGCAGTAAACATGGGAGTGCAGCTATCTCTTCAACAGACTGATGTCGTTTTCTTTAGATATAAACCCAGTTAGTGAAATTGCTGGATCATGTGTTAGTTCCATTTTTAAGTTTTTGAGGAACTTCCATACTGTTTTCCATAATGGCTATACTAATTCACATTCCCACCAACAGTGTGCAAGGGTCCCGTTTTCTCCCCATCCTCGCTGGCACTTATTATCTTATGTCTCTTTGATCATAGGCACTCTAATAGGTGTGAGGTGATAGCCCACTGTGGTTTTAATTTGCATTTCTCTGACAATTAGTGATTTTGACCACTTTTTCATAGACCTATTCACCTTTTGTATGTCTTCTTTTGAGAAACATCTATTCAGGTCCTTTGCCTATTTTTTAATTGGTTTTCTTGCTATTGAATTGAGTTCCTTGTGTATTTTGGATATTAACCTCTTATCAGATGTATGGTTTGCAAATGTTTTCTCCCATTCCATAGATTTTCTCTCTACTCTGTTGATTGTTTCCTTGGCTGTGCAGAAGCTTTTTAGTTTGATGTAATGTCATTGGTCAGTTTTTACTTTTGTTGCCTATACTTTTGGGGTCATAGCCAAAAAATTATTGTCTAGACTAATGTCATGGAGTTTTCCCCCTATGTTTTCTTCTAGTAGTTTTACATTTTTCAGGTCTTACTTTAAATTTAAGTCTTTAATCCAGAATGTGCTTTAAATTTAATCCATATCTTTTTTCTGCCAATTTGCTACAGAATTTATTGAATGTGGAAAAGATTCATGCAATCATGAGTTTTCTCCCTATAATCTTGAATCAGCTCTTCAAGGTTCTGGTACAGAATGAGGAAGATGAAATAAGTACAGCTGTCACCAGGTATCCACAGCACAACCTTGGGAAAAGAGATTTTATCTTCTGTGGTTTTGCAAAACTTTGATTGTAACTGAACACGCTCTAATTTAAGTATTTCTCACTCTTGAATCTTTACCTTCTAATCTCCTACTATTATCATTAGTTAAGTTTTTGACCTATTTTTTAAACTTCTTCTTGGTGTTTTTTCTATTAAACTTTTTATTTTGAGATCATTGTAGATTCACATGCAGTTGAAAGACATAACACAGAGAGATCCCATGAACGCTTTACCCAGTTTACTCTGCTGACATCTTCCATACGTCGATGGAATCATACAGAATGTGACCTTTTGTGATTGGATTTTTTCACTCAGCATAATTCTCTGGAGAGTCATCCAGGTTGCTGAGTCTATCAATAGTTTGTTCCTTTTAATTGCTGAGTAGCATTCTGTGATATAGATGTACCATAGCATTTTTAACAGTTCACCTATTGAAGGACATCTGGATGGTTCCCAGGTTTGGGCTATTAGGAATAAAGCTGCTATAAACATTCATGCACAAGTTTCATGTAAACATAAGTCTTCATTTCTCTGAGATAAATGCCCAGGAGTGCAGTTGCTGGATAATATGGTAGTTTAATGTTTGATTTTTAAGAAACTACCAAACGGTTTTCCAGAATGGCTGTACCATTTCACATTCTCATAAGAACTTTTTTAAATACTAAAAAAATTGTTTTAACTGTTCTCACTTTAAATTTTGCTATGCTACATTGTTCCAGCATCACTAATCTGGCTGGTGACTTCGGAAATCACATTTTTCTATTTATAGAGATAGTGTTTTGAATTAATTATTGAGTCATATATTCCTGATGTTCGCTTAAAAAAAGATTAGGCATAGAATTCTGGAAAAAAAACTACTCTTGGCATTGAAATGTTTACAGTATCTTCCTGACTCATAAGCATATTATTGCCCTCTTTCAAAATGAGGATTTTTAGCCTAGTTTTTAAAGTAGAGCCCTGAAGTTCTGGAAAGTTAAAGTATCTCTAACAGTTCCACAACCAGCCAGTTCTGCATCCAAGTTAAAAGTCCCCAACTGTGCCTTCAAGTGATGCTCTTTGGGCATGAATATATGTGTCTGCGTTGGCAAGACTCCTAAATATTGCAGCTGATAGATCTGTCAAAATTCTAAGATATTTCTAAGTACTGTAGCCATGGAGCAACTGGTAGTTTCAATGTGAAAAAATCAACTCACACCACTCCTGCTGCTAGAAACTCTAACCCAGCCAAGGGGGGAAAAGCAACTGCATCTTAAGCTAATTACTTTTTCCAAAAGTATATATAATGCCTATAGGTTGGAAGGCAAGCCCTTTCAAAATGGAATATGGTAATTAATTAGAGGCTAAACATCTTAAGTTTTAATTAGGTGCTGAAAATAATCCCTTTTCCAAGAAGATGATATCATCAAATGCACAGGCCTTAATGAGCACCTTCAACTTCAGCAACAAGTCTCCACTATGATATTACAGCCATAAAATCTTACTTATATCTTAGTGTTCAGAAGTTTCAAGGTTGGGAATGACCAAAAGGGATTACAGATATTAAATGCCCAGAACCAAGGGGTGAGCAGGGGAAGGGGGGAGTCTGAAATCCATTTATTCAGTAACTAATAGATACCCAGTATATCAAGCACTTCAATGACAAAGTAAAGTAGCATTTTTCTGCCATCTGCAGAAAGGCCACTGAACAGCTTTGCTTTTCCAGGGTTCTGACTGACATTGTGGCCAAGTGCCATGAGGAGCAGCTAGACCACTCCGTCCAGTCCTACATTAAGGTATGAAATCACCACTTGGACACTGGTCATATCCCCTTGTGCTGTGTGGCTTGTCTCATTTCCTGTCTTCAATAAGTGGGAAGTTTGCTCCCCTTAGCTGGACAGCACCCGCCACAGTAATATCAAGAATTCTCCTTAGCTACTTAGAATTTCATCTCTTTGCTTTAATGGACTAGGTATATTTTTTAAATGTATAAATGTATAAATAATGTGTACTTATTCAAATGCATATTTATATAGGGAGAGAGAGGAAAGAAAATGATAGAGGAGAAAACGAAACTATTGTCCTTTTGAATTCAGCATTACAAATAAATGAAATTCCTGTGTTAATTTAAGGCAGACGTTTTCTACTGGTTTGTTGAATGCTGTATGTTTCTTCTGTAATGTTTTCTTAGCTCTTTTTATTGTTTTCTCAGGCATTATTTCATTTTCCCAGTTACTGTATATTTGTACCTGCTTCTGGTATGTTAAGTCCTTTATCTTCTGGCATGACCCACTTGCCCATCCATCGGTGTGCACTGCCTCTTCCAGCGTCCTGTGTCAAGTGTTCACTCAGAGATGTTTATCTTCTCATATCCAGTTGGCCTGTGAATTAATGCCAGTGAACTTGTGATGATGTTTACACTTCATAGTTTCTACCTAAATGCCATCTTCTTAAATGAAAAGAAAGAACCCATCCAGAGATACATAAGAGTATCTGAAATTACTTTGTAATATACAGAGGACCTAAATTTCTATTTTTTTTTCTATGCATAGATTAAATCTTTTTGAAATATAAACATTTTTAATTAAAAGAATATATTCTATTAATATATGTGGATAGACATATACTTATATATTCCAGATGTCTAGAAAGGTAACTAGAATTTGGATCCTTTGTGCTAGAAACTCGTTTTAAAAAAGACAACCCAGTGCTCCTGTGAAAGGAATTAACTAGAAATTGCATTCTGGACTGAATCTCTCTGAGATACCATCTGTAAAGAAATTTTTTTCATTAGTTTCATATATATATATATTTTTCTACCTCCAGAAATTTTTGGTATCTTCTCAAATATTGAAGCCAAACCGTGAGTGTGTGCCCTTCCTTAAAACAGCCTGTATGCCAAAAGTAGTTATTTCACAGTAATTTCCCTATGGTATAATTTTACCTGATAAGACCAACATTCCAATTATAGAAAGCCAGCTTCACCTAAAAATGCCTTTTTAGTTTGTTCTCTGTTTAAGATAGCATCAGTTTTCTTTTATAGAGTATTTATAAATTTACCATTTGACAGAATCATCTGGAGAACTTTCACCTACTCAAAGCTTACCCCAATTTTCTATCAATCTCCAAAGAGACTGAAAAGAAAAACAAAATATTCCTTGATCCATCTTGCACACAGGCATCTCCATTTCAACACTAGGGTTATTTTTCTCATTCCAATGGAATCATTGGAAGTTACATTAAGAACCCTATGCTCTTGTGAACTATTTTTGTGATAGCCAAGGCTAGTTCTTTATGCGCATCTCACATCTCAGACTCTTTCTCTGTGATGCTCTTGGAAAGATGTATTGGAAATGTATGGACTTTATTTTTGACTAGGACATCTGAAATATCCTGACAAGACTATTTCATTTTATAATATCGGAGATTGCTTATTTAGCTTGCTTCGAAGTGGTCCAAATTCAGAAACATACCTATGTGGAATTTCAGGTTGATAACAACTTCTAAAGATATTTTAGAAAATATTTGCATATAACTAAAACAAATATGAATATAATCAACTTGCATTTTACTCTGGAAAGAGTACTAAACTAGCAAGTGAGAGACTAGATTCTAGTCAAGGTTAAAAAGTCAACTTGAGAAGTCAGCCTCTCTGAACCTCTGTGATGTGAGATTGGATGGATCATCCAGCTCCATGATTCTGTGATTGGACTCCTGTGGCAGTGCATGGTTGACAGCATGGTCTGGACCAAATAGTCTGAAGTTTTTACCTTAGGTGGTGAAAATTGTTTTATAGTATATAAATAGATATTAAGACTCCTATCTAGGAGTATAGTGAAAACTGATGGGCTGGCACCAAAATGTGCTTGGATATCTTGAAAGATGTGATATTCAATGTAATTTATATTTATTCAGAAGAGAACTAAACACCATTTCAAGTTCAGTGGTGCTAAATGCTGCTAACTCACTCCATCTACAATATCCAAAATGTACACATACACCATGTCTTTTCCAAAGATGTGTGTCTAAAGTCAGTCTGATTAAATGCCATGGTTTACAGTGATTTGTAGCATTGATGGGTTCTAATCAAAATTTTAAAATAAGAATATTTCAGTGTGAGTCGAAATGCCCTTCAGGATAAATAACTGTGCATGGGATTAGATAGATAGTTGGTGATGACTTAACCGTATATGAGGCATAATCCATGAGGGGGAAAAAACCATATTATTCTTGATTTTAGCTACTTGCATGCATCCATTAGCTTCATCTTTCTCCTTTAGGATGAGCTTGGAGAAGTCAGGCCCCACTAGGACAACTTAGGTGCTGATGTACTAAAAATTTCAAAGAAGTGGTTATAGATCCAAAAGGGAATATGCCTTTTCTGTGAGCCAGTCCCTTGCCTGCCTTCAATCTCAATTATAGTGAAGTCTGAATTGTGAATTTTACTAAGAAATGCCCTTCCTTGGGGCAAAACCAACTCATAAGTAAGATATAATTCAGTAATAAGCATTTTGTATTTGAAACATATATGGACATAAATAGATACTGATATTCTTAAAAGATATGAAGAAATATCTCTTTACTGCTTACCATACCATGCCAAAACCAACCTTTTGCCAAAAAAAAAATGTAAGCAGCATTTGTCATCTTACTGATGGCCAACGTTCATGAACCCCTTGATACTATGTCTAAGCATGGGATGGTAGACCCTGGGCTTGTGGGGAGCTCACCTACTGGCCTCTGGAAGGCACTTGCTTCCTCACTTGGCTATTTGAGTGGGTGCTCTACCCTTTCAGGATGAAGAATTGCTACCATGCCACCTGTTACCAGTGGAAGGAAGGAGAAGGGGAATGAGTCCTAAGTAGGTGGGTCAAAGCCCTCCAATGTTTCCTTAAACCTGCTAAGTGGCTCTCTGTAAATTCTCTTAATTTTTACAAAAAAAAAAGTTTCAAGAGGAGCTTAGGTGAGCAAGGCCCTACCTGTGAAAAGCCCTAACTAGGAGCAGGTGTGTACTACTCTTATCATTGGGCCTTCATTTGTTTTATGACAAAATCTGGCATGAGCAGATAGTTTTGAAATATGACTTATTCATGTGACATAATTCTTAAAGCTTTGTTGTTTAAAGCATTTAACTTTATTTACTTTTTGAATTTTCTTCAGTTTGTGTTCAAGACCAGTGCATGCAAGGAGAGAACTATACATGAGGAACTGGCTAAAAATGTGACTGGTCTTTTGAAATCAAATGACTCAACAACAATAAAGCATGTCCTAAAGGTAAAGAATTAAAAATGGTCATTTAATTGTTAGGACTAGGGGTGGATCACTCTTTCCTGTGGATGGTGATAGGAGTCATTGATTTTCATAGAGTATTTCTCTTATAGTTTCTGGCATAAGCTTCATATTGAAACTGTAGCATATGAAAATATTTTTTTTTCCCTTTTTTGTCTTTTTTTCGTGACCGGCAACGGATCGCAACCCTCAGTGTCATGCCCATACTGGAATGGGACTGGCAACGGGATCGCAACCCTTGGTGTTGCCCCCGCACCTCGCTCAGCCAG